TCATGCCAATTTGTAACTCCAGTTCCAGGGGATCTGATGCCCTCTCCTGGCCTCTGTGGGCACCAGGATGCACACGGTGTGCAGGTATACATGCGGACAAAACACCCATGCATAAAATAAAATAAAAATAAATAAATCTTGAAGAAATAATCGGTGGGTTGAAGAGCAAATGAAGAGAGAAATAAGAACCCATTTTGACTGGATTGAAAAATGCAAGCACACGGGGGTGGGGGATGGGGGGTGTATAGCCTGCAACCTTAGTGCTTGAGGGTCTGAAAGGGGATCATTGTGAGTTTAACAACAGCCTGGGCTACAGAGTGAGACTTTGTCTCAAAAATAAAAACAATTGAGTAAATGTAAAAAGAAAAGCAGAGGCAGGCACATTGTATCCAAACCACATCATGTTGCTAACTTTCCAGGGCAATGCAAAGCACGGGACACAGGGCAAGTTTTAAATCAGTGACCTCAACTTGCACTGTGTATTAACAATCAAAACAAGCCAGGCGGTGGTGGTGCACACTTTTAATCCCAGCACTCGGGAGGCAGAGGCAGGCGGATCTCTGTGAGTTCGAGGCCAGCCTGGTCTACAGAGTGAGTTCTAGGACAGGGCGCCCAAGAAACCCAGTTTCGAAAAACCAAAAACCAAACCAACCCAACCGAGAAGAGTCACCTGAAACTAAAGTGAGCAGAGGGAATAATGAAGATTAAGAGGAAATTATTGAAATAAAAAATGCAATGAGGATGGCGGTGATGGTGCACGCCTTTAATCCCAGCACTCGGGAGGCAGAGGCAGGCGGATCTCTGTGAGTTTGAGGCCAGCCTGGTCTACAAGAGCTAGTTCCAGGACAGGAACCAAAAGCTACGGAGAAACCCTGTCTCGAAAAATCAAAAATAAATAAATAAATAAATAAATAAAATAATGCAATGAAAGCGAAGCTTACTCTTTTAGGAAAAGAATTATTAATCTCATATCAAATTTATTTGTTAATAAAAAAGAGACAGGTGAAACAAATGACTAATGGGAAAAGAGAGAGGAGACATTGGTATTGTTTCACAGGTACCGGGGGAGTTAGGAACTTTTCTGAACACTGTTGTATAAACAAATTCAAGAACTTGGAAGAAATGGTCAGATACTTCAGAAGACACAAATCATCATAGTTGGCTCAAGACCATTACATTAAAACACTTGAAACCTGAGCTGGTGAGAGGCTCAGCATAAGCCTGTGGCTTAAGTTCAGTCCCTGGAGGCTACATGGTGCAAGGAGAGAACCAACTCGTGGAGCTGACCTCTGACCTCCACACGCACACTGTGGCATGCTGGTGCCCTCTGACCTCCACACACACACCGATGCTGGTACCCTCTGACCTCCACACATGCACTGTGGCATGCTGGTGCCCTCTGACCTCCACACACACACCGATGCTGGTACCCTCTGACCTCCACACACGCACTGTGGCATGCTGGGCAGAAATATACACAGAATAAATAAGCATACAATTTATTTTAAACTGAAATATAAGATTTTCCTGCAAATAAACATCCAGGCTTTAGCAGTAATTCCATCTCACATACGGGGGAAAAATAAAGCCAGTCTACACAAGTACTCCAGAAGGGAGCAAAAGGGAAGTCATTCAAAACAGAAACGAAGGCTATCCTGCCTTCAAGTCATCCACGGAAGGTCGAGTCCACATCAGACTTCCTCAGAGTTAGACACATCTGCTCTTCCAAAGACGTGCTACAGCATGTAAGGGCGGTAACATCCACACCATGTAAAAACCTGCACAAAAATGTGCCTCACAATGGACTTGTAAACAGAGAGTATAAAGAACTCGCAAAACCCACTTAGCAATTCACTTTTTATTGTTTACTTTGTTTTGTGTGTGGGTGCTTTGCCTATATGTTATGTCTGTGTACCACTTGCATGGCTGGTGCTGGCAGAGGCCAGAAGGGGGAGTTAGAGCTTCTGGACCTGGAGTTACAGAAGGCTGTGAGCCAGCATGTGTATGCTGGGAACTAAACCCAGGGCCTCTGCAAGGGCAGCCAGTGCTCTTAATGCTGAAGCATCTCTCCAGCTCCTACAACTCATTTTTTTTTTAAATGGGCAAAAGATTTAAGTAAGCCCTTTACCAAGAAATATTTCTAGATGGCCAGTGAGAGATGCTTAGCAGTAAATCCCCAGAGACACAAACCTAAGTCACAGGATACCAAGGCACACTTACTGAGATGGCTAACACGGAAAACCTCAGACCAGGCACAGTGAGGATGCATGTACAATCTGTGGCACATGGAGTCCAAGTAATGTAGCACAGTAATAAAACACGCTGTGGACATATGCTCCGACATGGGTGAATCTCAAAAGAAGGAAGCTGAGTGGAAGAATTCACGCAGAAAGGATCATTTATGTCACATCCTAGAAAATACTAACTAGGGCTGGACAGATGCTGCAGTGATTCAGAACACTTTCTGTGTTTGTAGAAGACCCAAGTTCAGTTCGCAGCACCCATAGCAGGTGGCTCATAACTGCCAGTAACTCCAGTTCCCGGGGTTCTGATATCCTCTCCTGGCCTCCGTGGGAACTGCACACACACACACATTTATTGGGCCAGGTTGCTTGTGACAAAAGCCAGGGAGGAGGGCTGAAGGGGCACAATGGAGCTTTGGTCAGCAGAGGATCTGTTTATTATCACTGGGATGATAGTTTTACAGACATATGTAGATTAACTCAAACTTCTTCTCAGTGTCAGAGGTGGGAACATACCAGACACGTACATGCACCTACACACTCTGAGGACATAAACAGGAAATTCAGAAGAGAGACACCAGTGGTCATGGAGGACAGGAAATGTATGTGGCATCACAAATAATCAGAGAACTAGTAATTAAAAAGACAAGACACTTTAAGCCGGGCAGTGGTGGCACATGCTTTTAAACCTGGCGCTCGGGAGGCAGAGGCAGATGGAGCATTAAGTTTGAGGCCAGCCTGGTCTACAGAGTCGGTTCCAGGATGGCCAGCACTACAGAGTGAGACCTTGTCTCAAAACAACAACAACACGAAGACACTTCTTTGCTCACCATATTGGCCAAATAACCGAGAAACTCTTATTTCTGCAAGTTTATTGCCTTTTCCTGGCAGTGCACTCTGAGGGCTCACATAAGGCCATGTCTTTCTTTGGAAATTTTAAAAATTATTATTATTTTATGTATATGGATGTTTTACCTTCATGTTATAGTTACATGCATGCCTGGTGCCCATGGGGGCCAGAAGAGGGCACTGGATCCCCTGGAACTGGAGTTACAGACAGTTGTGAGCCTCCATGTGGGTGCTGGGAATTGAACCCAGATCCTCTGGAAGAGCAGCCAGTGCTCTGAGCCACTGAGCCAGCTCCTCAACCCAAAGCACTTATTTAAATTAAAAAAAAAAAGATTATTTTGGTTATTTTAACAGAGGTGCTGCGGAGATGGGAAATGGCGAGTCCTTCACGGACAGACACAGGTTTCTGGGCAGCCTGAGTTGTATCTGAAGGAGGAACTAGGATTCCAGGTAATGTTTAATGTCCTGCTTTTTGCTTATCTGCATTAAGAAAAACATGTTTTGAAAATGCTATCACATCTGTGCAAGTGATAGGAACTCACTGTGGTTTGAATCCTGAACACCCCTCCCCACCCCAAAGCCCCTGTGGCAGAGACCCATGGGCTGTTGCTACTAGGAGTGGTGCCTGGGGAAGCAGAGCCAGCAGGAGGCCTTGGGTCATGGGTTCATGCTCCAAAGGGTGTCGTGGAACTTCACCTCCCTCTGATTTTCTCTCTTGCTCCTTGGGGATGAAGGGAGAAGTCTGTCTCCACCACACACTGCTGTTATGAACTGTTACCTCATCAAAAGGGCCAACTGACTATGGACTGAAAACCCCCAAGCTGTGAGCCAGACATTTTCTCCATATATGTTTATCATTTCAGATATTACAGGGGCAGAAATCTAACATGGAAACCACTATGAAATTCATAATCTAAAAGCTAACTGCAATAAAAATGGTGCTATCTCTTGGTATATGTAAGTGTGTGTGTGTGTGTGTGTGTGTGTGTGTGTGTACATGTGTGTATGTGCATTTTCCTGGAGAAGGGCATCAGCAAGCTGTTTCTTATTACCGCATGATTCTCCATGGTTATCTCTGACAGACAATATGGAGAATCTGAAAAGAAACCGTGTGTGTGTGTGTGTGTGTGTGTGCGTGCGTGCGTGCGTGCGTGTGTGTGTGTGTGTGTGTGTGTGTACATGTTCAAGTGGGTGTAGATGTGCTCGGCCATGTCTGTACAAGTAGAGGCAGGAGACCAGTAAAGGTCTGCTCCTCAACTGCTTCTCCATCTAACTTTGGAGACACAGTCTTACACTGAACCCAGAGCTCAGCAGTTCAGTCAGGCTGGCTGGCTAGTGAGCTCCAGTGTGCCTCTTGTCTCTGTCTCCACCTTGTAATCCCACAGCTGGGATTACAAATCCATGCCACCATGCCTGGTTGGTTATGTAGGTTCTAGGGGGATCAAAGGGAGGTCTTCAAGCTTGTACAACAAACAATACGCTGACTGAGTCATCTCCTCAGCCCTAAAAAGACCACTTTTAATAATATAACATTTAAAAAACATTTATTTCATTTTGTAAATTGTATACGTGCATGTGTCTGTGTGTGGGTTTTGTACACATGTGTGCAGTGCCAGTGGAGGCCAGAAGAGGGCACCCAACCTCCTGGAGCTGGAATCACAGGTGGATGGAAGCTGTCCTATGGGGTGTAGGAACAAAACTCAGGACTTCTGCAAGAGCAGTACATGTTCCTAACCACTAAGCCATCTCTTTAGCCATATCATGTACCATTTTCTTCCTTGCGTGTTTTCTTCCTTTTGTGTTCTTACAAAGATAGTAAAATTTCACCATAGAAAACATCACTTGTTCCTGTTTTTTTTAGGTGGAAGGTATGCATAGAACCTTAGGTTACAGAGATGTGCACAGTACCTCTTGCTGTGTGGCACGGAACCCACAGTGTTGCTCAGGGTCATCGTGGCAGCAATCTCTTCTTGCTCGCAATCTGAGTCTCCCGCACCTGTGGACAGAAGGGTAAAATATATAAATATATAAATATATATATAAAATATATAATTCTAGGAGAAAAGCGACGGAGGAAGTAATTAAAGCTGAATGTGGTGGCAGACATTTGGGGTCCCCGCAACTCCGGAGGGTGGGGACCGCGGATGGCTGGAGTACAGGAGCTTGACGCTTATCTGTTCGACCTAATGAGACCTATGTCACTTGTTAAAAACAAATGAGGTGGTAGTTCTAAATGTTTACAAAAATAATATAAAACATTTATTGTCCTGCATGGACAACAAATGGAGAAGATCAATCTTCACCATGGGCGACTTAGATTCCCACAAGATGAACACTTGTGACACTAGGCTTGGTGTACATGGAGGAGGATCCTCAGATCTGTAAGCATTCTACCCACCTGGTGCAAGAGATGGCTTAGCAGTTAAGAACACTTCTGCTGAAGTAGGGTTCCCAGCACCCACGTGGCAGCTCACAAACATCTGTGATTCCAGTTCCAGGAGATCTGATACCTTCTAGTCTCGTTGGGCACTGGACACACACAGTGCACAGACACACATGCAGACTAAACACTCATACACATAAAACAAAAAGAAACCAATTTCAAAAAAAGAAAAAGAACAAAATCTGACTAAAAACAACTGAATGTGCACGGGAATAATGATGACCCCTAACTGGCAGTGTGTGGCACTAATCTGGCAGCACTGGTGATGTCCCTGGCTCTGGGCAGGGCTGGGGATTTCAGTGGCTTCTGCAGTTCCATCTATGTCCCTTTCCAGACTCGTCTGGAACCAACTGCCCACATTTCCACATTAACTATTAGTTTTAAATGATCTATTAAAGAAATACATGACCAATGTAGAAACAATTTTAGAAGTTTTTTTTTTGTTGTTGTTTTTGGAACTAGCTCTGTAGACCAGGCTAGTCTCGAACTCACAGAGATCCGCCTGCCTCTGCCTCCCGAGTGCTGGGATTAAAGGCGTGCGCCACCACCTCCCGGCTAGAAGTTTTTTAAAAAAATTCCTAATCCAGAGCCTGGGAGATGGCTCAGCTGGTAAAGTGCTTACGAGCAAGGGTGAGTTCTCTGCCTAGCCCAAGGATGTGCATAAAAACAAAACAAAAACAAACAAACAGACTTGGGTGTGGTAGTTTTTAAATGCTCGAGCTGAGGAGGCAGAGGCAGGCTGACCAGCCAGCCTGGCTGAACTGGTGCACTGTCAGCCAGTGAGAGACTCAAAACAAGGCAATCAATACTATGGTGGCGCACGCCTTTAATCCCAGCACTCGGGAGGCAGAGGCAGGCGGATCTCTGTGAGTTTGAGACCAGCCTGGTCTACAAGAGCTAGTTCCAGGACAGGCTCCAAAAGCCACAGAGAAACCCTGTCTCGAAAAACATAAAAAAAAAAAAATACTGTGGAATGCTAGCCAGGGGGTTCTCTGGTCTCCACATGTACCCCCACCACACACACAGCATACACACAGCATCCACCACCCTTACTAACAACGGGCTTTCCTTTCTCCATGTTCATATTTATTTTTTCATGCCTGCATTTTTGATACGTAGCTAACATCAGCTACAGACTCTTGGCTTTGCCATCTCACTGAACACTGTTCTCAAAGGTTGCCTAAGGACGGTTCATTAAAAAGGTCTCCATTCCCTTGCAGTCTTTATTCCACCACTGGAGACGGTAAGCTTCAGATTGGTTCTGGGTATGCAGACCTATGTCAGGCGTCAGGCTCGTGTGAGAGAGGCTTTAGCCCCTCGGTCATCTCTCCAGGCCCAGAGCAAGTCTTTGTTTTCTTCAGAGGGAGATCTCACTAGGCAGCCTTGTCTGGCCTGGAGCTCCCCATGTAGACCAGGCTGGCCTCAAACTCATTGAGATCTGCCTGTCTTTGCCTCCTGAGGGTTGGGATTAAAGGTCTGCACACCACCCCTGGCCTGGGAGTAGGTTTTTAAACCTGGAGACCTCGCAGGAAGAAACACAAACAGGGCTGGAGAGATGGCTCAGTGGTTAAGAGCACTGTCTGCTCTTCTAGAGGCCCTGAGTTCAATTCCCAGCAACCACATGGTGGTTCTAAACCATCTGTAATGAGATCTGGCGCCCTCCTCTGGCGTGTGGGTATACACGGAGGCATAAAGTTGTATACAGAATAAATAAATCTAAAAAAAAAAAACCACACAAACAGCTAGAAGAGATATCTCAGCCTCCATCTCTGGTTTTGTCCCCTCTTGCTGCAGATACACCAAGTCTCCTCTGGTGCCTCCATTTAGGACCCACAGTTTTTGTTTGTTGGTTTGGTAATTTCTGTCATTCCCTCTGATTCTTTCTGTGCCTTGTTTTATATTAGCCAGAGCCTGCTTGCGTTCAGCATGAGATTTCACCTAACTACCAAGACATCAGTAACTCCATCGCTAATCTCCCCCACTATTCTAGTCTGACTGTAGCCTCTATGAGTGTGTGTGTGTGTGTGTGTGTGTGTGTGTGTATGTGAGTGTGTATGTGTGTTTATATGCATGTGGACAGCTGAGTTCGATGTCAGGTGTCTTAATCACTTCTGATCTATCTATCTATCTATCTATCTATCTATCTATCTATCGTCTGTCTGAGACAAGGTCAGGAGCTCACTGATGGTGTGGCTGGCTGCTCAGTGAGCTCCAGGGAGCGCCTGTGTTCCTCCCCAGCACTAGGGTTACAGGCAGACCCCCACCCCGGCTGCTGGCCTTTGCTGTGGGTAGAGTGAGCACTTTACTGACTGAGCCACCACCACCCCGGTCTGGCCTCTAACTTTAACTCTTTGCTGCAGTGCTAAACAAACAGACAAACCCACTCTCCAGTGTCTGGAGCATGCTCAGAGCAAGGTACACCTTCGAGTTCACTTCCTGGTTGAGCTGTGTCTTCACATTCTCACTCAAAAACCTGCCTGACTGAAACAGAGCCCCCGCATCTAATCTGCTCATTTCAACTGAGAAGCTCACTGGTATTTGGTGTTTCCCCGGGTTATTACAATATTTTTAGAAACCCACAGCCTTCACTTTCCCGCCCTCTATGCTAGGCAAACACTAGGCAGCACTCATCTCCTTCCACTTCCTGATTCCTGATAGTTCACGAGAACAGGCTCATACAACGTGTGCTCTTTTAGAACCGGCTTCTTCCATGTAATATAGGCCAGCATGTAGCATGAATCCGTATTTCCTGTCTGGTCACACAGCGTTCTATATGTGAGCATACCACAGTTGCCTGTCCACAGATCGGCTGATGGACACTGGGCCGTATGCACCTGTTGGCTGTTGTGGATGATGGCAGTTTAGTCATTGGCGCCCACACTTTTGAGTGCTTTCTGTTTTCATTTCTCCTGAGTACACATTCAGGGCTGGACTAGCTGGGTTCTGTGGCCTCAGTGAATATCCATGAAAACCTCCACCAATCTCCTCTTGCCCAATTCAACCAGAACCAAAAATGAGAATCCAAACCCACCCTCCTCTCCAAACACGATTAGATATATTTTCCCCAGGGAGGACTTCACTTTGAGCACTTAGCTGAAGTGACATGCGCAAAATCATCTTCCTTCCTCAACCTCTTGCAACCTTAAATGTCACATGGTCAGTGATGGCTGAGAACAGTGCCAAGAATGTTGCCTTTCAAGTCTCGAGCCCTTGGGTCAACTAAACAATCTGGCTAGCTTAGCAAAGCTCTCATCAGAGAGACAACAACTGAAATAACATGGTTTACTCTTGTTCCTCGGATATGGAAGCCGTCCAATGACGGGAAGTCAGCAAGTAGCTTGTTCACAGGCCTTGTGGAAAAAAGAAGAAACAGAGAAATCGAGAAGAGAAACAGCATGTCCAGGACTTCCCTTCCCAGAAACCTGGAGGCTGATTCACTGGGGCTCTCTATTGCTTTGCCATTTTTAAAAAAGATTTACTTATTTTTACTTTTCTGTGCACTGGTGTTTTGCCTGCATATATGTCTGTGCAAGGGAGCCAGATCCCCTGGAACTGAAGCTACAGACAGTTGTGAGCCGCCATGTGGGTGCTGGGAACTGAACCCAGGTCCTCTGGAAGAGCAGCCATGCTCTAAACCTCTGAGTCATCTCTCCAGCCCCTACCTTGACATGTTTTAATCATATCACTTCTGAGACAAACCAGGAGCCAGCGAAGCTGAAACCCCATGGTATTTCAACATCAAGGAAGGGAAGAAGAGTCAGTCTTCACACTGGAATATCAGCCACCTCCCTCCCTCCCTCCCTCCCTCCCTCCCTCCCTCCCTCTTTCCCTCCTTCCTCTCCCTCTCTTCTCCTTCCCTTCTCTCTTCTCCCTTCCTTCATTCCTTGAATATGCTGAATCTCAGGAACTTAACCGTTACCCCACACCTGCACAGTGGCTTTCCTCCAACTAAAACCCAGAATTTCTTATTTCCCAACCCAGAACGCTTTCCCTGAACCGCACGCCCAAGTCATCATGCTTTGGAAGACAATCCAGAACACTTCAGTGTCACGGCAGATGGGGTTCCGGGGTCGTGTGCGCCCCTGAGGTGCACAATACATATGTATTCAGTACTTCAGCCCACAGAGTGGAGAAATTCGGGGACATCAGTAACTAAAGAACAGGGCTGGAGAGGTGGACTCAGTGGTTAAGAGCAGATACTGGGTTTGGTTCTCAGCACCCACATCAGGTGGCTCACAACTTCCTCTAACTCAAGCTCCAGGGGATCTTATGACTCTCATATACACATACTCACATGTGTGTTTGTGAGTACACACACACATATGAATATAAATAATTTAAAAGAAATCTTTAAAAAGGAATATAAATATCTCACATATATGCTCAGAGGGCTTGGGATGTGATTGGATAGCCAAACACTTGTCAAGTGCGTACAAGGTCCTGGGGTCATCTCTTAGCACAACACAACGAATGGGGTATGAACAGAGGGTCTTGGAGGGGACCAGCAACTTTGGGTTCACAATGAAGCCAGTCTCTTAAAATAACTGTTATTC